TCCTCAGCCGTGAATACTGAAGCAAAGAAATCATTTAGTTTCTCCGCAATGGCTTTATCATCCTTGATTGCTCCTTTTATATCTCGATCGTCTAGGGGACCCACAGGTTTTTTAGCAGGCTTCCTGCTTCTAATGTACTTAAAAAACATTTTGTTATTTCTTTTTGAGTTTTTGGCTAGCTGTTCCTCAAAATCTTTTTTTGCTTTTCTTATTACATTTTTACACTTGATTTGACAGTGTTTATGTTCCTTTCTATTTATCTCACTAGGATTGGACTTCCACTTCTTAAAAGATACCTTTTTGTCCCTCACTGCTTCTTTTACATGGTGGTTAAGCCACGGTGACTCTTTTTTAGGTCTCTTGCTATGTTTTTTAATTTGGGGTATACATTTAAGTTGGGCCTCTATTGTGGTGTCTTTAAAAAGTTTCCATGCAGCTTTCAGGGATTTGGCTCTAGTCACTGTGCCTTTTAATTTCTGTTTAACTAACCTCCTCGTTTTTGTGTAATTCCCCTTTTTGAAATTCAGGGTGCTGGACTGCTGAGGTGTTGGTGTTCTTCCCACCACAGGAATGTTGAATGTTATTATATTATGGTCACTATTCCCAAGCGGTCCTGTAACGGTTATTTCCTGGACCTGATCCTGCACTCCACTCAGGACTAAATCGAGAATTGCCTCTCCCCTCGTGGGTTCCTGAACCAGCTGCTTGAAGAAGCAGTCATTTAAGCCATTGAGAAATTTTATCTCCGCTTCTCTTCCTGAGGTGACATGTATCCAGTCAATATGGGGGTAATTAAAATCCCCCATTATTATAGAGTTCTTTATTTTGGTAGCCTCTCTAATCTCCCTCAGCATTTCAATGTCAGTATTGCTGTCCTGGTCAGGTGGTCGGTAATATATCCCTACTGCTAATTTCTTATTATTGGAGCATGGAATTACTATCCATAGCGATTCTATGGAACATGTTGATTCATTTAATATTTTTATTTCATTTGATTCTACATTATCTTTCACATACAGTGCCACTCCGCCACCCACCCGGCCTGCTCTATCCTTTCGATATATTTTATATCCCGGTATGATTGTGTCCCACAGATTTTCCTCATTCCACCAGGTTTCAGTGATGCCTATTATGTCAATCTCCTCATTTAATACGAGGTACTCTAGTTCACCCATCTTATTAGTCAGACTCCTAGCATTTGTGTAGAAGCACTTTAAAAATTTGCCACTGCTTATTTGTCTGCCCTTCCCTGATGCATTGGATTCCTTTGAATGCGGTTGTGTGTCTGCTCTGGCCCATGGTTTGTCCTCTCCCCTCCTCTCTTTCTTACTACAGCTTAGAGAATCTCTATCAATGGATTCTCCTCTAAGAGAAGTCTTCCTCTGATTTACGTGCATCTCCGCACCAATCGGCTTTTCCCCATCTCTTAGTTTAAAAACTGCCCTACGGCCTTTTTAATGTTTAGGATAACCTCTCATTAGTTTAAACATTTTTCAGTTTCATTGGCAGTCCCCTAGAAACAAAAATAAATACCAGTATAGGAACTACCTTTTCTACACCATTCCTTATGTTGATTATCTGTAGTATGTCCCCTTTTATTTTTTCTTTGAAATAAACAGTTTTAGTTTTTTACTATTTTGCACATGAATTTTTTCCCCGTGATTTTAATAATTTTTGTTGACAGTCTTTCGTTTCCACCTATTTCTGTTATATCTTTGTTGAGATGATGTGAGCAGAACTCAATACAGTACAGTGAACACCCACTATCAATTTATGTAGTGGCACTTCATACACTACTTTGAGTGTATCTAGTTAGTCCATGGGTACTTCTCTTTATGTCGCTCTCCTACAGTTTCTGTTAATAGATAATTTCCAAAACACAACCAATAAATTAGTAGAGCAAATAAGTGCCATAGCAATCTAACGCTTAGGAGAACAGATGCTATACTAGATTCTACTTCACAGAAAAAAGGGAAAGAAGAGGGAAAACATACATATGCAGAGACTTCTGGGCCTTGGCTGCTTCTTCCTTGGAACTGTAGCGGACCACAGCATTCCCTTGAGTCAGGTTCAGGTGGAATGTAATTAAAGGGCCGTGTTGCAAACACAGTGTCCGAAGTGTGGAACCATCAATCTAATTGCAGAGGGAGAAAAAAGTGGTCTTGTTTTTCTGTGGTTGTCCTTAGTATGTTTGTTAATGGAAAAGGCTTTAAATGATAAAGGAAAAAATTTAGAGTGCAAGTGTAGTTTCCTCCCACAAGCTAAAATAATGGAATTAGATGCATCACTATTTTATGAGGCAATTTTTTTCAACTTCTTTCTACATAGTTCATATTAATAAAGCTTATTTTTCCAAGACATCTCCTGATCTCTGCACCCACTGCTTTCAGTCTTATGCATCTCCATGGGAATTACACCATGGAGAGGAGTAGAGGAATTGACAGATTGGGGAAAATAGAAGAGTAATTCTCCCATCCCCTCAAAAATTAGATTTGCCCTCCACAGTATCAACCACACAAGGAATTTTTAAACAAATAAATTATGTGCACTGGAATGGCTAATTATACAGATTCAGAATTTGTGTGTGATTTGCTCAGCAGCAGATCTAAAAGTGCTTTACAAAGATCAGAATAATTACTAATGGGGAACAGACATGGGAAATGATTTACCCAAGGTCACTCAGCAGCCCAGTAGCAGAGTTGGGAACAGAAGCAGGGATTCCAGTGTGCTAGTTATTAAGCCACTGTGGCTCCCATTAAAACCATTATATGGATCATTCTCAACATATTACCATGACTCTCTGTATCTGGAGGGAGCACCTCGTGTAAATACAATTGTGGTACTGCATACAACTCATGCTATGTGAGGTATCAGGGAAGAAGTTACGATTGGCTGAAAGTCATGATTCTATATAAATATGTACATCTTTAGTGCGTATGAAGTTATGAGCTCATGTTTTATGGCTGTCACTAAAACATGCTGTAAACTGAGGAATCAGTCAGATATTAGCTCCCCAGAGACAACAACAAGGAAAGTAGTCTTGCTACACAAGGTGGGTGTCAAACAACCATCAACAGCCATTGTCCAACAAGAGAGCTATAATTCAGTGACTCACCATGCCCACCAGACATGTCTGGACTTGTGTTTTCCAAGTGCATGGAATAAAGATAGAAAACAGCAACAAGGCCACTCAGAAGCTTGAGGACTCCAATTGAGGAGAGTGGCTTAAGTTTAAGGGACAAACTTCTATATTAAGAATCACAAAATCCGGTGGGGTGAGAAAAACAGCTTAATCTAGAGGTTACCCAGTCTAAAAGGGTTGAGAATTTACAGTGTGCTTATATTTTACTTTCTTTTGGTAACCACTTTGACTTTTTGTGTATCACATATAGTCACTTAAAATATGCATAGTCACTTAAAATTATCTTCCAGAGTCAATAAACTTGTATTGGTTATCTTTTCTAGTGACTTTGCCCAAAGTGTTTGTTAATTTGCTCAGGTTTACAAAGGCTGGTATGTAGGCACTTTCCAATGCTGAAGTGGTGAACCTTTTGCACTGCTCATCTTGCCAGGAGGGCTTTGTTGCTTGTCACTAGCAATGCAGCGTGAGAGACAGCCCAGGCTGGAGAGTTAAGGGAGCACAGTGGTCCCAGGCTGCATCCCAGGGATTCCATCACAACTACTGTTATTGGTACATAGATGAATATTATATACACTCATTGCAATAGACTAAAATTACCACAGCTGATAAGCATTCTTTCTACCATCTGGTTCTTTGTGTAGTCAAACATACTATTCTCCTTACCTGGGGTGTGAGGTTACGTAGAACCAGCCAGCTGCTTGTTCTTCCTGAGCTGTCAGTACTCCAGGCAGAACCTATCATAAATCCAGAAAGGGAACAATTTAGTATTATAGTGAGAGCACATTACAACAATCAGACTCATCAGGAGTAAAGAGTGTGTAAGATGCAACACACTAGCAACACAACTGCTATTGTAAACATATTCATTAACAATCCAATAAGCAATTTATCTCCATCCTCTTTTCTTTTCTTACATGGCATGAAAAGAGGGAGCTCCATGATTAGAATGTGTCAAGTTGACTCTGAAGGAGCAGTGGGATTTCTCCCTTTCTTGCCATCATCTCTTTCGTAGGTGACTACTTTGACACTATATTGGCAAAAGCTAGTATTTTACCAAAAACCTTCAGGTTACACTGGATTTAGTCAGCAGGTGACACCTTAAAAGATATGGAGATGACATTTTCTAGTGGCATTTGAAAAACTGCAGTACCTCTAAAACTTTGGTGAAAGTATGGAGGATGCAGATAAAATCTTATCAGCATGCTGTGGCTCTCATGTGGGATTTTGCCTGCAAAAAATGGATGTGACAACCTTTGACAGCTGGGCAGAATATTTAATTCCCAAATTTTTGGGAAGATGGTTGATAAAAATAGTTATTAGCAGTGATATTTATTTCTGATCCAGATTTTTTTATAAACACAGAGCACATAGCTGTAGAAACAAAATTATGACAGCCAAATAAACAGATTGTACTTGAAAGAAGTTATACACACTGTCTGGGAGCCCTACCATCCCTTCAATTGTATTCATCATACAACATGGAATAATCAGGTTCTGGATGACTTGCATCCCTGCTATAGATATGTACTGTGCTTAATTTGTAATGAAAGAGGTTCTTGGGGTATGATCACCAACCCTAGGGGTGCCGGGGATTAGTCCTGGCAAGCCCTGGCACAAATTAAACACTGGATATGTATTCTGTGTAATAAAGTCTACTGATTTATAACAATTTATAACAATTCACAGAAAAACACTCGCTGCAAAAGAAAAAGGTCTCTTAAGATATGTAAAAAAATGAATACTATAAACAAGTCCCCCTGTTGTAGTAAAATTATTTCCCACTTATAATAATAATAAAAAGAGCATTGCAATATTATAAAATATAGGAGTCAGAGGAATACCAGAAGAGTAAGAGCTGGTCCAACCCAGTGGGCTGGCACCCCAGGTAGATGATGGCTTGGTGTTTGTTAAACCTGGAGGTGGTCTTGTCGGAGCAGTAGTGTTTCTGGGTACCTTCCATAGTTCATGGGATAAAGACGCTTGTGTGTGAGAGATTGGGCCAGAGGACCAAGTAGACTTGATGTCTGATAATTTACCTGCAACAGAGAAACATAATTCACACATTTTTGGTAAGCAGGTTAAAAAATGTGAACAATTTGGGTGTGTCTAGACTACATGGCTCCGTCGACGGAGCCATGTAAACTAGTTTACCCGACATAGTAAATGAAGTGGGGATTTAAATAATCTCCACTTCATTAAAATAAAAATGGCCGCCCCACTGTGCCAACAATCAGCTGATGCAGCGCAGTGCGGCAGTCTAGATGCAGTGCGGTTGACAAGAGAAGCCTTTGTCGACTGCTCCCTTATGCCTCGTGAAACTTGACTATGCTTCATTGACTATGTCAATAAACTAGTTTACATGGCTCTGTCGACGGAGCCATGTAGTCTAGACACACCCTTTATGAAGTAAAGAGGTGATCCTCAAGGCTATTCATTAATTGTAATCTATGAGTATCTAACATTTATTATTACTGTCCACTTGGTAGTGGAGCGCCGAACACTTCTCTTTCTGATAGAAGGACAAATGATCATAAAACAAGACTAGAGAATATGTTTGACTAGCTGAAATCTAGTAATAAAATTGTTGTATATGTTCAAAGTTATTTAGCAAAAATTATTAAAATAATTAAGTTTATATTCTTTGCACTCAAAAAGGAGGAACCACTTATTTAAAACACAGAAATTGGCACACAGATGAGTTATTCCAGAAGAGGTGGAGAGGACAACATTTCCTATTCATATGCTACTGAAATTTCAAAGACAAATGCATAAGGTGTACAGAGTCTTTTATAAGTTTCTCTTTGAAACACTAACAATCTTCATGAGAAGTCCAATATATCACAATTCTTACAACATTTTGTTGACCACTTTGTTATGCTCTATAGTCTACTGTCATTTATATTTATATTTATATCATTATATTTATTTCACAATTATTTTATTCCAACCAGAGATTTATCAAATGACCTAAATCTATACATTTTAAATACAAACTTTAAAATAAAAAGGACACATTAGCATTTAGATATCATTAACCCAAACAGGACCTACTCAATTCAGACACTACCATACAAAATGCACAATGTCAAATGATCATTTCACTGTGTGGAAGTTTAACATATGCCTGTCTTTTAGCTAGCTACACAAACACCAAAGATATAGAACCTGATTCTCCTTCTCTAATTAATACTTATGTATATCAAGAGCAACTCTACTGATGTCAAGAAGCTAAACTGGTGTAAAGTGAGAGGCCCGTTAGGCTCCTATTTTTGTTCAAAGTACAGTGACAATAAGGAAGTTGATAATACTGTTCAAGTAACAGCTTGAGAAAAGAAATTTGAAAGTCTAATTTTAGAACCAGTAGCAGCAGCTGGCCCTGCAATTTAACATATGATGAACATGGATTAGTAAGTTAGAGGTTACCATGGCACTGATTTTATGATGTTTGCATGCAGATAGGATGTAACAGCACACACAAAAATGCATGGCAGATAAAATTAAGGGATAAGTAAGCCATTACTTTCCCCTTCTAATAACAGAATATTTCAAGGTCCTTTAGCTTTGTGGCACCTTGAACCTAAATCGTACACTAATGTCCAAGAGTGTTCAAGTTTCTTTTAAATTAAGATGAGGTTTCTAATTTATCAAATACTAGAAGATTTACTTGGCACCACTTGAGTCTTTAACTCAGTTAATTTCTGTTTTTTGGAAAATAAATAAAGATGTACTTGCTCTATGAGAATCACTGGGGTGGGGCTAGGGATGAGGAGCTGAGTATGCAGGTTGCCCCAGTAAGAGAGGACTACACCAGCCCTCTTTCATCCCAGCAGCTTGATAAGAAGCACCTTTCCATGGCTGCTGCAGCTTCAGCAGGCACAGCCAAGGGAGAGGTTCATGTCCCCCAAGTGAGGCAGGTCTGGGTTCATCTGTCCCTTGCACTCCCCCAGCCAGAGAGAGGAATGAAGCAAACTGTGCACTTTCCCCTTGCTCCCTGATGAAGGAGAACCGCCAGCAATGTTCCTGTACAAACCCAGGGTAGGGAGGAAGCAATATTCTCATATGAATTGGGGTAGAGGGAATTTCAGCCTCCCCCCTGCAAAGGGCACTTGGGGTTTTTGTGAGAGGCTCAGATCTGGAGCAATTCCAGAAGGGGAAAGGGGAATGAGCCCCCAGACCGCCCTTTTCTCCTGCCCAGTGATTCTGTTTCTTTACTGTATGGTTTTATGAGAAGTAAATCCCATTCCAGGCACATCCCATTTTCCTGCCAAGTCCAAACCTTTATTCTGCTTTAAGTGATGTAGAACTGGTACCGTTTAATAGGAATTCTTGAACAAACGGACAGACATGTATAGACAGAT